GAGCCCGCTCTTCCGCCCGCGCAACCCGCCTGCCTGATAAGTGTACAAATATGTTGTACGTTAATATATGCATGCACCCAAGCGTCGCTAATGACTTAGCAACACATAACAACGTATATAACGACTACATGTTTTTATCGCAAAATATATTACAACTGTTCTAAAAGTTTTTTCCCACAGAATAAAAATGTACCATTTTTCGTAGTCGAAGAGGTAGTGTAGAGTAGACATGAACCAAGCATTGTTAACTAAAGACTATGCTTCGAACGGACCGGCTCCGAGCCAAACTCCGAGCTATTTAGACTATATGCTTCGCTGTAAGCTTTCAAAGGTTGATTATTCCGAATTAGGCTCCGAAATACATATACATTTTCCCGAGCGCCAAAAAGAGTTTTTAAATCTTGAGTTTGGTTTGAACGAACGACCTAAGGAACTACAGTCCCCCGCTCTACCAACTGAGCTATCGCAAGAGCATGTCCCGTTAATTGGTCGCGCTACCTGTCACGTTTGGCCCAGGCCTGCCCGCGTTAATCGGTCGCGCTATCTGGTCCAGGGTTAGGGTTAGGGCCAGCAAAGTTACGTCACATATCTTGCATACTAATTACTTTCGGAGCAGCGTGACGTCATTGGCGGCATCCCTTTGGTCTCCATAGTGAGGGGTTTCACTACTATTACCGGAAGGGGATCACTAGCAATAGGGCCACAGCTCAGTCATGTTTGAGGTGCTTCCGCTACCTTATACTTTTCACTACACACAAGAAGCAACACCACATCTCAAACATTATACTGCAACTGAAATTCACCGTACAAACTTCACTTTACTAAAATGCAACTCAAAGCCATTTACTCGTTTAGTTACTTGCCTTTTGAGCCAGGTATATTTTGAGATGGTGGTATCACTGATTTGCTATATACAGAGACTGTAAATTCGAGAGATGGTGTTGGAGAGAGGTAAATCTTCGTGGTTACAGAAGCACCCAAAGATGATGATGCAATAGTATTGTTGGGAACTAAATAATATTTTCACGAAATTAATATGCGAGACTTAATTCCGTGGATTGATTAAATATAACGTAGGCTAACTTGGATTGGAAATTTAACGAAAGTCATTGTTCTATCTTTATCTCCATGTTTATGCAAACTTGTGTACGGCGAAGAGTGACGACAATAAATTTTTGACACTCCGAAGCAATCATCCAATAGCATTGCTGTAATCAGCAAAGTTTTACGTGAAACCCTCTCAATACAAAATGATAGCTCGTTTTGAACTTTACCGAGTTTCCAATCCTGCCAATGCCGTTAGTTGAAAAATATCCGGCTGGATGTTCTACATATATGGTCCGGGCCTTATTTACGGTTAAATAATAATTTTGACTGGTTAAAAAACAAAAGTGTTTATAATATTTTCACTCCTAACAAACTTCAAATCCGCATTTGCAAACGTCGAGCGTTTATTTCCAATAGAGATATTTTTCCGATATTTCCAATATCCGACAGAGTACCAGACACGGGCGGCGCTAAGCGGGAGGGGTAGTCGGCAAAACAGTGAATCCCTGTCGGCATATTGTTTCCGTAGTCGGCAAAACATGACTTTGATAGGGGAAAATAGAGTGAAACAGAATAAAAATTAATAATGAATAATTCTACCTATAAAAACTTGGAGAAATGTACGAAAATATGAAGAAAAAAAGTAGTATGAGAAATATAATGTCCGAAGAATTTTTTTACCCCTTCGCCCTCCAACCCCACCCCACCCCACTTGCCTTTAGAGCCAGGTATAGTTTGAGATGGTGATATCGCAGGTTTGCTATGTACAGAGATTACTGATTCAAAAGATGACGTTGGAGAGGTATAAAATGTCGTGAATACAGGAGGAGCCAAAGTTGATGATGGAACGGTATTTTTGGGAACTAAATAATATTTAAGTGAAATTAGCATGGCCACAGTTTATGTTAACCTATTCCTTTATCTTTACTAATCCTTACAATTCTTATCCAAATCTTTATATATCATCATCCTACCTCTAATTCTAACCATAACTCCAGTTATATTCTTAATCTTAATCTCTATTCTCAAATTATAATGATAACGCCAATGCCAATCCTGGTTTTATTCCAATCTTAATTCTAATTATAGTCTTTTACTATAATCCTAATCTTGTATGCAACTCTAATCCTATCTCTACTCTGTTTCCTAACCCTATTTCCAACGCTCTAATTCCAATTCTGTTCCTAATATTAACTGTAATCCTTATAATAACAATTGTAATCCCAATCCTAATTTTCCCCCTAATCCGGACCTAATTATGACGCTAAATCCTAATCTTAAATCTTCAACTCAAATTCTAATACTCAACTCTGAAGCTCAACTTTAATCCTTAACTTTAATTAATAATCCTAATCCTTAACTCTACTTTCCAAATTTAATCCTAATCCTCAACTCTATTCAGTACTCAACTTTAGTCTTAATCCTCTACTCTAATCCTCTACTCTGATCGTTCTCTTAAATCCATCTTAAGTCTATTTCGAACTCTAATTTAATTCTAACCCTATTTCTTCGTTTACACGCGGTCAAATTTAGGGAAATTCTCCCACTTGTTGCGGCTCGTATTGTCAGCGGACATGTTACACAAAATGGCTAGTTCTACATGTGCAAAAGGCAAAACTTTCAATTTTTCGCCGCAAGTCCGCTGGAAAATGAGAGTTAGTGGTACTAGGAGAAAATTGCTGAATATGACCAGCGTGTTATCCCCAACCTCAATGGTATATGTATAATTCTACCACTCTGTGTGAATTAAAACTGCCATAACAGATTAAAGAATTACTGTCACACCGTGGTATTGCGGACTCAAATATATTCTTGCCGGCGGCCATTTTATTGGCGGAGTAGATCAGCAGATCTGCTGCTCCTTTTACCTGATTCTTATTGTAAATGTACCAAGCAAGATATTTGTATCGTTATTTGTTGATTTTGGGTAAGATAAGAATAATAACGTAACAAAAGCCTGCGATTAGTGCGATACCATGGTGTACACTAATCCTTAAAGGCCTGCATGTTTACATGCGACCAGGACAAAGTCAAACCATATATGAGACCAGGATCCCGCTTGCTGGACGAAACGACCATCTTTAGTCTAGGATTTGGAGCGGGATGAATATAAACGCAAATACATTTTCGCCCAAATCTCATGTGAGAAAGAAGTACGCAATGTAAGAAAATGACATTACTTTCTTTACCTTTAAACGTTCCATTAACTTTGAATGCCATCAAACCAAGGTAATAATCACTTGACCGCAGTATGGGAGATGCACACGTCACATTTATCCTCATTATGCGGCTTACAAATCTAGCAGAATTGACCTTCCACTATGTAAAACAACAAATTCAAATTAAAAAGCTGTCAATAGGTGGGTTTTACTTAGTGGGGATGCTCAGCTAGGAAAAGGAATGGGAGTAAAAGTTGGTCAGATTTGAGACTGAGAAGTGGAGCCAATGAAGTCATAGGGTAGGTCGTCTTTTAAACTCATTAAATTTAAAGGACAATGGCACCGAAAATTTTTATTGACTATTTCAATCCTACTTGACGAACGACCTAACTATGAGAATATTATCATTTCGTTTTCAAACATTTTCGTTTGCGAGTAAAATGCATGCAAACTTTGTGTTTCGCCGCCATCTTGGAAATTTTTTTTTTAAATTATCTCGAAGGTCAATAAACTTTGTGACAATGACTAGAACCAAAACTACAAGAGAGAATTCTATTGCGTGCGTGTTATGTTAGCTAAAAATATGTCGTTTTGAGCATTATACTGGCCAACACTCTCCGCAATCAAACAAGATAAGTCTATACAATCAGATAAAAAAAACGTATTAAGCGACTGGGAAAGCAAGGAATGGCGCAATTTACAATACAGGTAATTGATCATGAAACATTGCATTAATTAGTATTTGTCTTGTTACACTCGAATTTCTGCGTTTATTTAACACGGAGTAGGATATATACTATGAGAAATAGTGTTACAAACAAGTTACATACTTGGTAGAACTTTACTGCCTTTTGTTTCGGCTCAAAATACACTACGCGCGGCAATACTCGGTATTGGACTATTGGTTATAGTCATGAAATTGTGTTTACCCAGTCAATGGCGTCAGATAATTTATTTTGTGGCATAAATTAGCATACACGCTTATTTTCAAAATGGCGGACAACTGTTGAACTTTTTATCAAATTTTCTCAACAACTACACGCGACAAACCGGCCAAAATATGAAATTAAATATTCCGCAAGTATACCTAATAGATATATAAAAATATTGGGTGCCAATGTCCTTTAATTAATAAAAACAGTGCATGGTAGTCTTTATTTCTGATGACTACCTCAATTTACACACGCAAATCTTTTCAATACACCGCTGATTTGCAAAGGAAATGTGCCAATATTACAAAACACAAATTTATATACTAAAACTTGAAGCTTTAAATAGTATTCTATTCCAACTGCCCTCATGCTCCCATTGGCTTACAGGTAGATAGTTTTGGGAAATGCAAGCCCGTAAGCCGAGGAGCGAGGGAGTAAACGTTCCTTGGGGAGGGCACGGGTGGGGAAAAGCGCTAAACCAGAATGTGTGACGCAATATTGCTGCTTCCTACCTATATATACACACATGTATACACAGCTATGTCTTTCCAACTAACACACCCGGGCGCCGCGTTTAACACACTGACCCTGAACTATTGAGATCCCCTTGTTTTATAGCCAATGTTACGCATGATTGCACTTAGAATAGTATTGTTGGGAAACTCATTAATAATTCATGACGAAAAATATCAGGAGAGACAGGAAATTGTGCGTGGTCATTGGAATAGAGATCGATGCGGCTCAAACTTAAGACTTTATGAAATCATAGATATATAACCATAACTGTAATAACTCTTAGCCGCCACCCCCCCCCCCCGCTGCGCCTGCAGCCAGCAATAAATTAATCACAAACTTAACTCACTTTAAATGTTAACATCCCTTCATATCGATCATGGACACTATGGCCAACTAATCCAGGATCATCTATATATTCCAACACGGAATTCCACTGTCTAAAGTCTTCGTGGCTGAGCTCTTCAATATCGTTCAGGGCACATTTTTTAGAATTATTATCACCAGGGCTATGTAGTTCGAACCGGATTGTGTTTACATTTGAATCAAATGGTATAACTTTCAGAGCTCCCTCAGGTTGTTCATATTTGTACAGCCAGAATCTCAAAGACGATTGCTCTAGAAATGGTATAAGAATAAAAGGCCGTCTCAAAATTTCGACTATACAGTGTATATAAAAAAAGGTAATTGAAGTTCAGCGCGCTATTGTATCTGAATTACTCTGCGTATGACCGAGATCTGTTAAATGATATATTCTTCATGGCAAATGGATAAAAAGTGAGCAAATACGAATCTAATAAAAATGTTAGTCAGCTAGAGTCGCATATTTTCACTATTGTCTATTGAGATTTGGTCTAAAACCATTTAAAATTAACCCCCTTCGGGACTTAAGTCGATTAATTGAACTTCTGCAATAAACTACGCACATATTCATATAATTAGTATGAAGTAGGAATAAATCTTAGCTAAGCTATAAAAAAGTCGTGATTAATTGCTTTTCTTTTGTTATGTACTGCTATATAACACGGGTGAAAATATGCGAATCGGGTCTAACATTTTTTATCGAACTCGTACTTGCTTTTTTTCTCCACTTGCATGGCATGAAAAACATGTCATTCAATACCTATTATTATTTATTTAAAAATTCCTGGTTTCCGATTGGCTAACAAGCAACTATGGAATTGTCATATCAACTCAATGGCTAACCAAATATGGATTTTTCACATTCATATTAGCAAAATGACGTCAAAGAGCCAATATGAAAAAAATTGGACGCGTTTGCGCCATATTACTATGACGACAAGAGTCATATTGACTCGCTGACGCCATTGATATGACAACGACGATTTTTTTTCTTAATACAAATAAAATACAAATGGCTTCCGATTGTTTTAAATTTTTTAAATAAATAAGAAAACAATTACTGAACTCGGTTTTCACACAATATGGAGAATTATTAAGCCCTCAGTTTGCCGTTATCAACCTCAGCCTTCGGCTTCGGTTGATAACGGCAAACTTCGGGCTTGATAATTCTTCATATCGTGCTCAACCTCATTCAATAATTATTAATTAAAGCCTTATCTTTCCGAAAATGAAAAAAAAATGTTCATACGCCGCCGTGGTAATTCACGTACAACAGCGCGCTGAAATTCAATTACCTCTTTTTTCTATACACACTGTATGAATGACAAGGGATAAGTAGAGGACTCTGAGGAGAGGGGCGGGGGAAGAGTGTGAATAGGGAGGAAATTAATCGTCCAAAATTAATGGTTTTGAAATTTAAAGATTTGTCATCTTGATTTGAAATTGATGGCAAGAGTTCATTTTTTCTTTCATGGAAAATAGTTTGCCGAGTTGTGACTAGTGACATACATCCAACCTATTTCAAATTCGTGATGTCACACATAAATTAAATAATTGAGAATACAGCAAATCTTTATTACGTCTACGTTCACTACATCGATTTTTCTATTATTTTCCGCATTCGACTCAAGTAGCTGCATTGAGATTAAATTAAAATTGTTTCCTGATTGTCTTACAAAGCGCATGCGTTTGGTACTGTATACCAAAGTATTTGAAGTTATGTTGTTTGTCTTTGTTTTAAGCTAGGTTTTTATATCTTTGATGGCGTCACAAAAACGCCGTTGATTTAATTGGAACTAATTGTGACACATATTTAATCCTCTAATGCTCGAAATGTTCTATAAGAATTTAGTTGCCTATCGCCTAACTTGAAATGTTCCCTAAAAATAACTAACAAAATTTAAATATTCAGCGAGAGTGCCAGTCATGGAGTGGGGAGTTGAGGGGATCGAAAACTAATCTTTGGGGGAGGGGCAAGCACAAATGCCCCGTCGGATACGTACATGACAAAGAAATTGCGACCTGGACTTTATATATACTGTGCTGAACCAAACGGTTTTTACACGCTCTTCAGTAGTCAACAAAAATAAGAGAAATAAGATGAAAATAGTCATCAGAGACAGAGTAAACCGAGGGGCGTGAGCCATGACAATAATTTCTCTACCACTACATTATGAGTTATGTCGCATGTTTGCAGCCAAAATTGCCTCGTGTAAAACGACTCTCTTAATCAACATGGAAATGTGCAAATCTCCACGATTATAACTAAAATGAAAGAAAAAAAACCTGACACATATGAAATGTCTGTCCCCTGTTCCACTTACTTGTGTTACGTATGTCTCTATCTGCCATACATTTTAACCCTGCTATGATAAACGTTCTTCGGTCGCTTGAACACTGGCAAGTACATATACCATGACTTGGCAAATGTCTATAAAAGAATGCATTTTTCTCCTTGCAAAAATTATAACAACCATTATCCCAGATACCAGAATATGAAAACGTATCTTGTTCATTTCGTGTAACACTTACAAGCACGCAAGAAACGTGAGAACAGAACAATAAAACTACATAAAATAATACAAATAGAACAATCAGATTCTTGCCAGGAAGTATAAAGCAAGCCATATATTATAATTTTTAAATTATCGACCGGTTCTTAGCATCCGTCCGTATTTGTTCTATTTTTCAAATCGTTGCAACATTCGTTCACAGAAATGCCGTTTAGTTTATATAGGATGTAATTTCGCAATTAATGATCAACGGAAACCGTCTGAAGTGGAGAAAACTTGAAAATCCGCATTCAAACCCACTTGACGCCTTCTTGGAGCACGAAGTATACATTAGTGCAGGATATGTTGTGAAATCAGAATTGGAACTGCCCGTGGGAATTCTTTGAAGAAAGCAAGGCACGAAGAAACCGGGAAAATATTAACACGAAATATTATGAACAGGGATATTCTATTTAGTGCAAAATATTCTCAGGTCTCAAATATTCAGCAAAATTCAAACCATGCTAAAACAGCATAAAACTGACATTTAAAAACGACAAATAAACATCGAGCAAAATTATATCTTGCCGACCTTAAAAAGTGCCGAATTTCCCTGATATGGAATATATCTTTAACATAGCTGGCGTGAAAATATTCAGGCCAAAATCACACTAAATACAAAGATTCGCAAAGATACACAGAAACGATTATGCGATTGTAATCTTGTCCTTAATAAATCCAAGCCACAATGTGGGATTACACTACCTGCCAAAAGAACTAGAAAGTCACCGGCTTGGCTTGAAAAAATTCTGGAAAAGGTTCATCACCAAAACTGCAAAAGGTTCATCAATTTTAAGTATTTGGCTTGAAAAAATCCAGGCCAAAAAATTTCCATTCACCGTGCGATAATTTGCAGTAATGTGTCAAAAAGGCATGGTTATCCTGCCCTGAATAAATCCAAGCCAAAATATACAAACAATAGTGAACAATATCGCGCTAAAAATCCAAACAAATCGCTGGCTTGGCTTGAATAAATTCAGTCCAAAACGGCAAAAGGTGCTTCAATTTCAAGTATTTGCTTGAAAAAATCCAAGCCAAAGGCTTTCCATTCACCATGCGATAATTCGCAGTTATGGGTGAAAAAGTTATGACATTCTTATCCTTAATAAATCCAAGCCAAAATACACGAATAAACAATATATCGTGCTAAAATCCAAACAAATCACCAGCTTGGCTTGAATAAATTCAGGCCAAAACGGCAAAAGGTGCTAAATTTCAAGTATTTGGCTTTGAAAAAATCCAGGCCAAAGGCTTTCCATTCACCGTGAGATAATTTGCAGTTATGGGTAAAAAAATTTATGGTAATCAAATCACCGGCTTGGCTTGAATACATAAATTCAGGCCAATACGGCAAGAGGTGCTAAATTTCAAGTATTTGGCTTGAAAAAATCCAGGCCAAAGGAGTTTTCGTTTTTTTTCCAACCTCGGAATTTTGAAAAGTTTCCCTTCACCGTGCGATAATTTGCAGTTATGGGTTAAAAGTTATGGTAATCTTGTCCTAAATCAATCCAAGCCAAAATATACGAACAAAAGTAAACAATATCGTGCTAAAAATCCAAACAAATCGCTGGCTTGGCTTGAAGAAATTCATGCCAAAACGGCAGAAGGTGCTTCAATTTTAAGTATTTGGCTTGTAAATATTCAGGCCAAAAGCTTTCCAGTTAGTAGGCGTCAAAAGATCGATAAGTGTGGATGGGGGCATATTCATATATTTGTGTTCACAGACCTTAAAAACAATCGATTTCAAAAGAAATCAACAATGCAGAACACGAATATGGTCCTCCCCACTTAGCGATCTTTTGACGCCTACGCCGGGCAGTTACCGCGCGATAATTTGCAGTTATATGGGTCAAAAAGTTATGGTAATCTTGTCCTAAATAACTCCACGCCAAAACATACGGACAAAAGTAAACAATATCGTGCTAAAAATTCAATCAAATCACCGGCTTGGCTTGAATATATAGATTCAGGCCAATACGGCAAGAGGTGCTAAATTTCAAGTATTTGGCTTGAAAAAATCCAGGCTAAAGGTTTTCCCTTCACCGTGCGATAATTTGCAGTTATGGGTTAAAAGTTATGGTAATCTTGTCCTGAATAAATCCAAGCCAAAATATACGAACAAAAGTAAACAATATCGTGCTAAAAATCCAAACAAATCGCTGGCTTGGCTTGAAGAAATTCATGCCAAAACGGCAGAAGGTGCTTCAATTTTAAGTATTTGGCTTGTAAATATTCAAGACAAAAGCTTTCCAGTTAGTAGGCGTCGAAAGATCGATAAGTGTGGATGGGGGCATATTCATATATTCGTGTTTACAGACCTTAAAAACAATCGATTTCAAAAGAAATCAACAATGTAGAACACGAATATGGTCCTCCCCACTTAGCGATCTTTTGACGCCTACACCGGGCAGTTACCGTGCGATAATTTGCAGTTATGGGTCAAAAAGTTATGGTAATCTTGTCCTAAATAAATCCAAGCCAAAATATACGAACAAAAGTAAACAATGTCGTGCAAACATTCAATCAAATCACCGGCTTGGCTTGAATAAATTCTGGCCAAAACGGCAAAAGGTGCTAAATTTCAAGTATTTGGCTTGAAAAAATCCAGGCCAAAGGCATTTCATTCACCGTGCGATAATTTGCAGTTATGGGTAATAAAGTTATGGAAATCTTGTCCTAAATTAATCCAAGCCAAAATATACG